TAATATGCTAATGATATGCTAGGCAGCTCAACTGCTCGCTATGACATGCACTGACCACCAGGGGGCAGACGCTCTGACCAATAGGTTAGCTCAGTGGTCGGCAAACTCATTAGTCAACAGAGCCAAATATCAACAGTGCAACGATTGAAATTTCTTTTGAGAGCCAAATTTTTTAAACTTAAACTATATAGGTAGGTACATTGTTATTAACTTAATTAGGGTGCTCCTAAGCTGGCCTTTGCTAAAAACATCCTCAATCTGATTGAAGTACGTTCGCTGAGGTTGACCCCTTCCAACTCTCCCATCCACACTTGTCTTGTATACTTGTTTCGTCTATCTCCTTTCCGAAAACCGACTTCTGTGCATGGGCCGCAAAGTTTCAATCGCACTGTACGTGCGCACCCGCACGTGGTATTTTGTGGAAGAGCCACACTCAAGGGGCCAAAGAGTCGCTTGTGGCTTGTGAGCTGCAGTTTGCCGACCACTGGGTTAGCTTACTGCTGGGGTCCAGCCAGTCAGGACTGAGTGAGATGGGCTGGACATGCCCTGGTGCCCTCCCGCGGTCCATCCCCAGCCCTAATCGTGCACCAGTGGGGTCCCTGCAATCCGGGCTGAGGCACCCCCCACCCCCAAGTGCACAAATTTCGTGCACCGGGCCTCTAGTACATACATAAAACAATCAATTCCAGATGAACTCCCAGCTTTAAGTGTGAAGAGAACGAGAGAGCTCTCAGAAGATAACTTGGGAGACTACCTTCATGGTCCTGGAGGAGGCCAAGGTTATAACTAGTCACAGGAGTACTATCCTTGGATATGATTGATAGATTCAACTACTTTAAAATCAGTAACTTCTGCCCTGACCGGTTTGGCTCAGTGGATAGAGCGTCGGCCTGCGGACTGAAGGGTCCCAGGTTCGATTCCGGTCAAGGGCATGTACCTGGGTTGCAGGCACATCTCCAGTGGGAGGTGTACAGGAGGCAGCTGGTCGATGTTTCTCTCTCATCGATGTTTCTAACTCTCTATCCCTCTCCCTTCCTCTCTGTAAAAAATCAATAAAATATATTTAAAAAAAAATCAGTAACTTCTGTTCATCAAAAGACATCAGTAAGAGAAAGCAAAGACAAGGCACAGCTTGGAAGATTTTTGCAACACATATAACCAATGAAAGCACTTGTAATCATCTACACTAATAAAAGAAAAACATGCAAATTGGTGTCACTCCACTATGCCCACCAGCCAATCAGGATGAGCATGCAAATTAATCCAACAAAGATGGCGGTTAATTTGCATATGTAGGCGCTGAGCGAAGACTGAAGACTGAAGAGGCTTGGCTTCTCCACTGTGACCGGACCAAAGGCCTGGGTCCTGGGTGCCAGAGGAAAACCGTGCCGGCAGCCAGGGGAAGGAAGGCCTATTGCACGAATCTTCGTGCAACGGGCTTCTAGTAATATATAAAGAAATCTTACAAATTAGTATGAAAAAAGACAACCCAATCAGAAAAAGACTTCTACTTGTGCTTCACAAAAGAGAGAAGCGAAATGGCCAATAAACAAACAGAAAGGTGTTCAGTTTCATTATAATGAAGGACATTAACCAACAACCACCAAAAATAAGTCTGACAACACCCAGTATGAGTGTAAGGAGCCACATGGGTCCCCAGGCACTGCTGGTGGGAGTGCACAATGACACAACTGCTTTGGAAAACAGTTTGGAATGATGTGGTGAAATGGAAGATACACATAGTCTGTGGCCCAACAATTTCACTCCAAGGTGGGTGTATAGCTAAAGAAATGCTCGCCCATGTGCACAGGGAGCCTGTGCAAGAATGTTTACAGCAGCATTGTTCATAATAGCTGAAAACCACCCACACACCACTTACAGTAGGCTGGAAAGACAAATCTCGGTAAGCTTCTACAATAGGTGCTGTTCATAGTATAAATGAATAAATTGCTGCTGTGTGCAATATGGATGAACCACAGGGACATAATGTTAAGCAATAAAAGCAAGTACTTTAAGGAAATATTCCGTATGATTCCATTACAATTTTTTTTAAACATGCAAAATTAGAAATTTTCGTTATTTAGGAGTAAAGCATATATGGCATAGAACCACAAGACAGTGCTCAGCGCAGAATTCAGAATGGCGGTTAACCTGTGAGGTGAGAGGTAAGGCTAGGACAGAGGGGTACACAGGAAATTAAAATCAATATTAATGTTCTTTTTCTTAAACGAAGAGGGGGTATACATACATATATCAGTTGTATTATTGCTTCAAATATATTTACTAAGTAGTCCTTTTGCTTCTACTTAATATTTAATACCAATTTTAAAAGATTCTAAAATATCATATTTGAAAACACTGTATCAGTAATAGAAAGAGGAATTCCTACGAATTATTGAGTGACTACCATGTAATGATTACAATGAAGGAAGGCATTGATGGCAATGCCTTAAGTGCACTGGCGAAGGCAGCTCAATGTCCTGGGAGTTCTGGCCTCTCTGGTGTTCATCCTCACTGCCACTGGACATGAGAGAGGTTGGTGTTTAAGTACCTGGGGTAAGCTTAACAGGGACCAAAAAGTTCTGTCATCCTCAGGCTAAGAGGCTGGCTCAGTTGCTTTCCGTTCAACAGCTGAACAGTGGGAAGGGGCTCACCTCCATCCAGCAGGAGCTGAGCACACATCCATTACGCCTCAGCCTGTGGGAGGCATGGCTGGGGGGACCCAGCCACACAGGGCATCCCGCTCCGAGACCCACAGACCGCTGGAGACAAGGCTGACAAACACACGGGTAATACCACATGACAGGTGCCCGCAGGATCTTGTGTAGGTGGCTGCTGAAATGTTTTACCCAGGCTGGGAACAAACCATGGGATCGACTGACTACATCTGGCCCAACTTTTAATAAAGTCTTCTCGGGGAGAAGTCTCTCATCACAGAGGAAGAAATACAAATATTTAAAAAGCAAACAAGTCACGGCTGCTCTCGGACCTGCTGACATATGCCTTGCTTTTTTTGAGCTCACGGCCTAACATTAAAATAACAGGCTTGCATTCCTCAAATATCTCTACTGCTGTTCTTCCTTACACTGCCTGAAAGGCTGTCGGCTGCTGTCACTGGAGGCATTGCCGTATTAGCCGCCACTGTTTACTGCTTGCTGTGTGGGTGGCTATGGGTCTAATAAGCCCTCCCCAGGAAGGTCCCCCAGGCATCTCTGCCGGAGCCTACAGCGAGTCTCAGCTCTAATGAAGGCGCTGGGGGTGCAAGGCGGGAAAGTGGCTTTATAAATATGGATGAGAGAAGCGGAATTTAATTGCATTGGGCTGTACTTTACCGACGGGTAAAGGACGGGAGACTTTTTCAAGTGCTTTCACCACTTTACGGTTCCATGGGCTAACCAGCTTCGGCTAAAATCCGAGATATATTCGGTATGCAAAAGAGCAAGCCTGAGATCTGCAAGCAGTAAACACTGCCGCAAAGCTCTTTAGTTCGCTCTGCATAAATAGCTGAACCTACAAAGGAAATCTCTAGTCAGAGGTTTCCTGGTTATAATGAGAATTTTCTGGATGGGGAGAAGAGAGTGCTCTTTTCACTTGGAGACAAAGAAATGTTTGTAATGGAAATGTGTGCACCGGTTTTCCAAGGGGAGCTGCTGAAACTCTCTGATTAAAAACACAGTGAGGTGATGAGGCAGAGAAATCAAGCCAAAGGCGATCCACTTAAAATGTGGGTTTGCACTTATTTCTGAAGGTGGAGAGAGCCAGCCCGGCCACCAGCTTCCCGCCCCATTACTGCCCCTGTCCCTTAGACAGTTAGAACCTGCCAGGTGCAGGGCTGTTGACTGTCTCTGGCCACTGTGTACCTGTTACTAAGCTACTCCCTGAGGAAAAAATAGGAGCCCAGGAGCCCAAAGACAAAGTCCTGCTCAGCAAAGCCTCGGCGACGAGCCTGGGTTCGGGAGTCTACGGAAGCGTGACGATAAGTAGACCATCCAAGCACCTAGCAGTCTGCAACGACAGTTCTTAGGTGAGGTACAAACATTGACTGATTTGAGGAATTCTGTTTCCTAGAGAAGAAAGCCAAGGCAGAAAGAGGTCAGCTATCTCGTTTGAAGTTGCTGAAATATAACCATCATCTGACACCTTGGAAGGGAGACCCTGGAGTTAACGCAGGACAAACAAGCCCTGAAGCTGTATTTCCTGCGTTCCAGTCACTGGAGTTCGTCTAATACAATGTTTGCCATATCCAGGTGTGCCTACCAGTATTTACTTAACATTTTTATTGAAAGTGACTTTAAAGCAACTCATTAAAAAAATTTCTTAGTCTCCCTCCGAGCGACCATTTCCATGAAATCACACTTTGATGTGCAGTTATATTTTTCTAATGTACATTTAGGAATGCATAACTATTAAAATAAAAACGTTCATCCACAGCCCATCTAACATCCTCTCCTGTGCCCAAGGGTACACGGTGGAAAAAACAGATCACGTATTTTAACTTAACAAGGACGACCTAACAGACTACTGCTGACCCTTGAACAATACGGTTTGAACTGCGTGGGTCCACTTACATGTGGATTTTTTTCAATAAATACTGTAAATGTATTTTCTCTTTCTTAAGATTTTTAAAATAACATTCTCTTTTCTGTAGCTTACTTTACTGTAGAGTGAAGTATATAGAATACATGTAACATACAAAATGTGCTAACCCACTGTGTATGTTTAGTGGTAAGGCTTCCATCAGCAGTAGGTTGTCAAGCTTCTGGGGCGTTAGAAGTTCTCCCCAGATCCTCCACTATGCAGGGGTTGGCATCCCTGGCCCTTGCATCAAGAGTCAACAGTATATGTGTTTCTAAATATCATGGGGAAGAAAGAGTAAAAGGAGTTTTGTACTATTTACTCTCAGGGTGTCCACGAAGAAGTCAGATTTCAGAGAAGGACGTTGGGAAGAAGTAAATGTAATAGCTTTCGCATAAGGAAAACGCAAGCCCAGGGTCACTCACAGGAAGTTCTCCGGGTACTCGCTCAGGGCCATGTCCACGATGCTCAGCGCGTCGTGGGAGTGCTTCTGTGCCGACAGCAGGAGGGCGAGCAGGTGCAGGGAGTTGACATCATCGCCTTGAAGCTGAAGAGCCTGGCGGACATAGCCCAGAGCCTCCGGTATCTGGTTTAGAACAAAACCAACAGGAATTTTTAAACACACGTGTGCACACACATGCATGCACACACATGTGTACACACATGCACGCACATGTGCGCGTACACACACACATGAAGCCATCTTTATAAAAGCACCGGGATATTACCCACAAACATGAAAACAAGACGCTCTCTTCAAGCAATAGTCTAATCATCAAAGTAATACTGTTTCTCTGTGTAACTGCCAATACCCATAAGTAAACTCTCTTTTTCTGCAAAAATGATCTACTTTGAATTATGCTAAAGATAATTTTACTACATGGAGGCACATAGCAATTGCCAGAGGTTTTTAGTGGAATTTAACAGCCTTAACTGAACTGTTCTCACTTTTTAAAGTATTACTGAAATAAAAGTGCTTAATAAGTCACGAACTTTAGAACAGCTTTCTAAATGATCAGACGCCCATGATTCCTGCCAAGTCCCTTTGCCCTGGTTCTCCATCAGGGAAACACACACACACACACACACACACGCCCCACACCTTCCCAAACCACAACCCAAATACCCTGATCCAAGAAACAAATGGCAGTGCCACGTTCAATGCCACATTCAAACTCAAGTGGGACCGGACACAACCTTGACCTTAAAATGCAATAGCTGTTCAAGACTTTCTTCAAAACCGTCCAAGCACGATGGTTGATAAAATGCACAGATGAGGACTGAACACCCTAGATTCCATGGAGGTTTAGCAGTCTGTGGGGAGAATTACAACCTGAAGCTTTCTCCACAGCTGGCCTGGGCCCCCTCCGCTCTCCCCTCCCAACGTCAGTCCCCTGGCTGGACCCCTCTCAGCTCTCCTGCTTCTTCCCAAACTCTCAGAAACCTCACTCCTTAGTAGGAGGCCACAACTTGGTTTTTTTCCAAATCGGTTAGTTCCCCTCTGCAACTTCATTTTGATGAATTTGATTATAAATGTTGGCTACGGAGGCTTTCTGCTTTGAGCCACAGAGTCATGGCTAACACAGCTGGAAGGGAGACCATCTGCCCAATCCATCGTTTACGGGAGGAAGCTGAGTCCAGGGGTGAAACGACTTGAGCAAGGTCACCCAGCTGTTGAACTTCTGGGACGAGAGTGGCCTCTAGATCTTCTGATTCCTCTCCCACCCGCTCCCCCTGCTCAAAGGGCACTGGCTGTACAGATAACAGGCCACAAGCCCCTGCCCGCGGTCAGCAGGAAGTTCAGCTTCTGGGGCCTGGGGTTGTCATGCTGTGCGCTCACAAAGGCTCTGTGACCTTGTCCATCCCCCGGTGAGAACTGGGGTGTGAACAGCGCCCAGCCTGCACTGTGGGGAGGGTCGAAAGGCAGGGTGTCAATGTGCAGTCTGACCAAAGCAGCCAGGGACGAACTGACAGGGTTCACAAAGGCATCCTGCAGGGACAGCTGACTTGAAGGAATGCAAGGCTGGCTCCTTCATTCAGCGAGTGCTCCCGAGTGCCTGCCACCTGCCAGGCAGCATTCCAGCTGCTGGGGCACAGGGGTGACGATGACAGCCATGGTTCCTGCCCGCGTGGAACCTCCCGTCAGGCGGGAAAGACACCAAACAGGAGAGCTGAGCCAGAGGAAGGGGCCGTGCAGGCTGCGGCAGGTAGGAGGCTTCACGGGGGAGGGAGAGAAGGTCCTGGTGGGGGAGAGGGGCCAGGTGGCCATCACGAGCCTGCAGCTGTGAGCCACACCACGCCAGGTGCAAGGATCTTGGTTTCCTTAGTCCCCAGGTCGCCAAAGGGAGCCGCCTCTCCGGGAAGTCAGATGCATGCCTGCAGCCGGGCCTGCCAGGGGAATGGCACGTCTGGGGAGCTGACCTTTCGTTCACCCTCCAGTCAGCACACTGGAATGTGCTGGGGTTACCACCAGTGTCTTGCACCTGGTGGGCAGGCAGGCATGCGGCCAGAGCCTCCAGAACAGCTGGGAGGGGACAGGAAGGGACGAGAAGGCAAAGGCGGCTTCTGGAGACTGCAACAGGGAGGATGAAGGCCAGCGACGCTGTCCCTCCACCGAGGACACTGCTGACGCTCCTACTCCAGGAGTCACCGCGTGTAACGTTCAGACCTCCACGTATTTGAAAGGAACTGGTTGGTGCTTCTGTCTATGCCTGTTGGCATCGTCAATCCCTGATACCTTATGGCAACCAGGCCCCACCCCAATCTCCACTCTGCTGAGAACTCAGCATGGGCTCTGCTGGCAAGTCACACGGGCTCTTCGATGACCCCTGGGTTTAAGGTGTCTGCCACGTGCTGTGTCCATGTTGCCGTCGACCCCGGCTGGGCCCTCCAGGTCTATGGACTAAAACTCCTAAAGCAGAGCCTGGCCTGTGTCTATACAGCTGATGCTCAAACTGACCAGAGCACCGGGTCTTCGCTGTGTGGAGGAGGGCCCCTGGTCCAGGTCCAGGTCAGCCTGGGGTGGAGGACCAGCTACTAACTAACTCAAGCTGAGGCGCTGGAGGAACTGCATCAAGACAGAGCGTGCACCCAGTTTAGGAACATTCGAGAAACTGACCTGTCTGGAGATGGCGAGCTGCAGAGCGAGGTAGAAAGCTGCTTGGTGATCTGTCGGTGACAGACTGTGGGCCCTGGAAAAGTATTTACGGCTGTTAGTACCTGGGAGAGGCCTTTCTACTTTCCCTATCTTACAAGTAGTCACATTTGCATTTTTATCATTTGCATTTTTGTACCAAGACCCCATATTTAACTACTGAATGTCTCACTTAAACAAAGGTTTACTAACAAATGTGCTGTCTTTCCCCTTTTCTGTGTACAGGAATGAGTGGCCTGCCTTGTGTTTGGTCTACCTCTGAAGCAGCAGCCGTGACCCTGGGCTCCGAGGAGCAGCCCGGAGGTGCAGAATCCGCAGGCCCTGAGCTCTGACCGCTCACCGTCACGCTGGGACACGGTGAGGCCATGGTGTCCTGGGCAAGGCAGTTGCATTTTGGTTGAGTTTTGGCTTGGCCTTAACGCTACCTTCACCCAGATTTCTGGATTTCAGAGAAACCATACGAAAATCAAGACGCGGCTTTGCTGGTAAAATGAGGTTCCATTTTTGATGAACTAACTCTAGGAGAGGAGGAGACTCAGTCTTCCAAAGCTACCAAGCCCCATGCAACTCTGACATGTAAAGCTAAACACTGGGCTTAGGGTTACTGTCTGGCCTTTGACACCAGCTGGGAAGAGCTGTACTGGACTCCTGTTTGCCAACCTGGTCATTCTTGCTCTTATGTGGGAGTCAATCATATATCACTACGAGCAACTCAAAATGGGGCTGTATATGAGACATAACTGCTGGACAGCCTCAAGGGAAGAGAAAACCAACTTTACTTTCTTTAAAAGGCACGATGGAGCAGACTAATTAAAAAACGGTGGGGCCCAGATAATAAACAGACTTTCATCCTGTTCTGTCAACATTCTGTGATTAAAGGAGGATCTTCTAGGGGCAGAAAACAAATTCAGGAGAAAAAAGAAAGCCATACCCCAGGCAAACACAGTAGGGATGGCTTCATGCAGTAAAAGGCCTTTTCATGGAACTGTCCATCTGCTGTGAGGAAAAAGACTAAGAAGTCTTCCAGGTGTTTGCCATCCAGAAAATACGCCGAGTCCAACAATCTGGGCCATTGTTTGGGCAAATGCGGCAGCTCCTGTGGGGACTGGGGGAGCAAGGGGAGTCTGTCCTTTTATCGCTCTTAAATCCACTCCCTGGTTACTTCACCAGGAACTGTGGCTAGGACTCTCCTCACCGTAGGGTAACAGGCTCAGGCTATTTGCCTGTGCTGCCCTTTTAAAGCTTTGCTTCTATCACTATGCTCTAGTTTTTATTATTTTACTAGAGGCCAGATGCATGAAATTCGTGCAAGAGTAGGCCTTCCTTCCCCCGGCTGATGGCACTGGCTTCCCTCTGGCACCTGGGACGCGGGCTTCCCTCACAGCCCCGGCTTCGTCCAGAAGGTCGTCCAATCTAATTAGCATATTATGCTTTTATTTTTATAGATAAGTATTGGTCTTCCCATGAATTTGTACACGGCTACTGCTTCAGAGGTGGACTGAACACAAAACAGGCCACTATCATTCCTATACACAGAAAAGGGAAAAAAGAATCTTTCTTTGGTGTTCATGAGAAATGAGATCGGGACATCATGGTTTCTGTTTCTCTCAATTATTCAGGGGAAGCTAATACAAAATGAGTTATGAAGAGACAATGAATTATTCAGCACTCTTTATTTTATTTCACTTCTTTCCTAATGAATAAAGAGCCAGGTTTCTACAACCTTCAGCAAGAAACCCTCAGAGCTATCATTTTCTCAGCCCAGGTTAGGGTTTTCGAAGGTGAAGTTACATCAGATCATGATTGCCTCCACCCGACACCACCCAGGTGAGGAGCTGGCCATGGCCTGGTAGCTCTGAGTAAGGGGTGAGGACAGTTCTGACATGAGCCCTACCTTGGCCTCATCAGTGATTACGCGCTGTGAGCCACACACTGTGACAAAAACAACCAGGCGGGCCTGGGGTCTCGGCGTTTCTGGGAAGATTGGGCTGCAGCTGAAGAACTGCAAACCTGGCTAATGATGGATATCCAACTGCCAATTTCTCACGAGGCACAACTTAAACATACACACTTTAAAAATCTTATTTTTATAATTTGGCTAATGAGTTAAACTGACTACTTTAGCCCAGGAAAGAAAAGAGAAAATAAGGAGAATGCTCAACAAAAGAAGGAAAAGTGCATGGTGTTGATCTCAGGACACACCCATAGCCAACCTGCTCGACAGACGTCATCAGGCCATGCAGGTAAGAGGATGGACATTCGTGTTCCTGACAACTAGAACCCTGCTGAACGCTGCACATGAATACAAAGCAGCCCCACAAACCCCACTCCCATACAGCAGCACCTGGTGGAGTTGATAGGAGAAACCCAGACATCTAAAACTGTCACCACAGGATGCTCACAAAGTGCTTCCCTTGTCAAAGCAACTTCATGCCCATTAATTTAATGTACTGTCCATAAAAAGGAATTGTTAGACTGATGGGTCACCAGGCTACCTGTCCTCCATCCGTCCATCCATCCATCCATCCATCCATCCAATCATCCATCCACTCATCTATTCATCCATCCATCCATCCATCCACCCACTCATCCATCCATCCATCCATCCATCCATCCATCCATCCATCCATCCACTCATCTATTCATCCATCCATCCATCCATCCATCCATCCATCCATCCACTCATCTATTCATCCATCCATCCATCCATCCATCCATCCATTCATCCATCCACTCATCTATCCACAATCTATTTATCTATCTATCTATCTATCTATCTATCTATCTATCTATCCACTCATCCATCCATCCATCCATCCATCCATCCATCCATCAACTCATCCACCTATCCATCCATTCACCCACCCACATTATTTAGTACCAATGTGGTGCCAGGCCTGTGCCAGCTTCTGGGGAGCCTGCAGATGAACCATGCACCAGCATGGAGATGGGAGAACATCCCTTCTCCCCCAGAGCCAGGGAGACCCAAAGTGACCATTACGGTACAGTGGGAGCAGGGCCCCGAGAGAGGCATGCCAGGCTGCCACTGGAGAGCATGGGATGGGCCCCCAAGATCACCTGTCTAGAACCCAGAACACCTTGAGGTCCACCCAGTGCTCTCCTAGACTCTGGTTCCAACATGTTCTATAACCCAAGAATATAGAAAAGGCTGAACAAATTTTGACCCTGATCATTAAGATACATACTTAATACGATAATTAACTACAATTTATGAGGAATCTACTTTTTAAGCACCTGGTCCAAGAGTATCCTAGCAAAGAGCTAGAGCTAAGAAGTGAAATCCTG